CTCAGACCCCCTCTGCCTTTTTTAGTCAAACGGAACTTACAGGCCTCTTTATTCCTCGGTGTGCTGCCTCTGCTGTCTTCTTCCCCTCTTTGGTTTTGATTAATTGTTTACTACTTTATTTTATCGAAGAGTAAACTAAATTTTTATTCAATGGTAAATACGCTCCCCTTTTGGGCTCGCATTAATGGAGAGTTGTTATTCGTGTATGCGTGCATTCACCAGACTACCTGCTAGTCATAAAGCCTGGGGATATCTCAATTACCTTGGAATTCAGACGACTTTGTTTCATTACTTTCGTTGGATTAAAACAAGAATGGAGCTGTAAGTAGGGTGCACTTACCATTTAAAGCTGAAGCCTGACAATGCTTCCAAAATAATGCGATTGTCGTCACACCTGCTATCTTCTTTGTGAAAAGGTCACAATTCCGACATGGCTCATCATTTGATGAGCGCAATTACCGAAATTCGAATCCGTTCAGTGGTGTCTCCAAATCCTGTTTTCAACAGAATATGATACTTTATGTATTTTGCGATGGAAATTTTCTCAATAAATTCTAATTCTTAAAACAGAGCGGAAAATTTTCTTGAGGATGAGACATATTCATGAAGCCAACTCCTGGAATGTTTGTAACGAACACTCCTACCTTCCTAAAATCGAACTGAGTAAAAGAGGCCTCCATTCCATATGTTTCTTTTAAAATGTGCGTTATTAATGAGGGTGTATTATTATGATTAGAATTACTGTCATGCTCCTGGCTATCGGAAATAATAAGTGCTGAGATAGCATTATTGACCTTGAACTAAGCAACCGATTGGATATTACGAAAATGGGTGATGTTACCCTGAAAAGTGAAAGGTGAATGTATTAGGGAGTGATCCGGTATTCTTTTTAATAAAATTCAGCCATACTTATGAACCCAAAGTTGAGATAAAAAATGAATCTTTTGATATCCGATCATCCACTTGTTTATGCTCTATCACTTACAGGACTGTTGTGACATTTTTGTAATTGACAATTGAAAAAAATATCGAGATTTAATTCGTGGTTTTTCATTGTAAGGCAGTAAATTTTTTCATGCTTTAATAAGTGATAAACATCTGAATGGGCGGATTAGGGAACCAGTCCGGAAAATAGGCCAACAAATTATGGGCGTCAAATGTCCAGCAATATTTGAATTTGAGAGCATTAAGCTGTCCAGATTATCGTAACAAAAAGTTTCCACTCCATCCTCATGATGGCCAGCCTACATGATGCGAATTACTGTTTAATGAGCCCAACTATGTACAAAATATTTTACCAAGACCAAGTAAAATGAGGCTTCCAAAGACAGGTTTAATCTCCATTTGTAGCACTGCCATTTCAAATGTTGGAATTCTATTGCTTTAGACTTACTTTTTGCAAATTCAAGCCACACTGATTGGTGCTTAGTTATATTAAACAAGTGAATTGTGTACACTAACTATCTGAGCGAAAGGTGATATGTGTTACATCGCATTGACAATTTGTCGGAAAATTTCAGGAATGTTAATTTGTCTAATCAACAAAAATCAATACCATTTAATGGTAAATTACGCCAAATTTGAAAGCAAACTGATATTTCAATAGGTATTTGCGAAATGATACATATTTATTTACGAATTCGGCTATTTTTGTTTACGGAAATGTTGCTTTATAAAATTAATTACCACGCTTTTCTTGCTTATAAATTTCACAGAATGCCGACTGTGATTTAATTCACTTAGTACATTTGGAAAACCTATTTACTTTGAGCGTACTCTAGGTAATGGCCGATCAGGATATATGCTCTAATTCAAATAATTCGGAAGAGATTAATGCACCTCACAATAAATCGACTCAAAGCTCAACCTCTGATAGTCCTATTAATTCTTATCATTATATGAAAATATCTCAGTGCTGTGGAGACATCAATGACAGTGGACTTGGGTCTTCCCGCATAACTACTCAAAATCGAAATAGTATAGAAGATCAGGCTCTCCATACAGCAAAAGTAGATCTAAATCCTCGCTTGGGTTTGATGTTCCATGAACTCAGTGGTTTTAAAACAGTCGTCTCCGAAGTCAAAGCGTGCGAAAGGGAGCTTTCAGATGTTGAAGCAAAGTTATTGGATCTTACCGAAGAGATACGTAGCAGAGAAGCAAAAATAATCGATCTTGAGGGTAAGTGCACGTGTTAAATGGACGTTATTTATTGATTTATGCTTCTGAACAAACAAGCTTATGAGGACACAAGCCAAGGTTTCGCATAAATTCAAAATTAAGGTTATCGATTTTTTGTGAACGAAGCATATATTACTTTGTTTGGCAAATCCAAGACTTGATTTATTGGAAGATATGCATACTTTCCCATAAAAAATAATTGAGGAGAAGTGTGACAAATTCAACCTTTAATTGAGTGAGATGATTTTAGTGGTGTTTACAATTAACTTCTACAAGCTAATAAATTATTTTAGTATCTTTCAGAGCTTAGCGAAAATAAGATTTGGTAATTAGAAAGTCCCTGTGCACAGGGAATAATTAGCTAGGTCAATAATGAAAAAGGAGCAATGTGTGAAACAGTAGACAATGAAATCAGGCATCAAGAATATTATGTTATTTAATTGCTTTGACATCATTTCATTGTGACAATGTTTGTATAATTTTACTAAATAATTACTTAATTGTTTTTTTCAGATTTTTTAAACATAATAATTTTATTTCATAGTTCTATTAAACAAAGATTAAACTTCGTGTTTTAATATTCACGTCATTTGCCTTTTTGAATACCACAGACGAAATATCCGAACTTCAAGAAACAAAATTTGAGCTAGAAGCAGAAAACCACAAAATTCGCTCTTCCTTCAAGGAGTGCCTGAAAAAATCAACCTCGAATACTAATGATAAGCTGACGACAAAAATCGAAAATCTTGAAAACGAACTTGAACACCTGCAATTCTCCTATGCGGAGGAAATAAACGGTCTAATGGATAGAGAAGACTTTCGGTCAAAAGTCTATGTTAATATCGTTAAAGAATTAGAAGTAAAGCTCAAGGATCTCAGAGCTATTTCAAAATCTCAAAAGTAAACCTCCTCTTCAAATTTTTGATGCAACTTGCTAGGGAACAGCTTCTTGATTCCATGAGGCAAAATCGGAAGTTAGAGACCGATAAGGCGTATTTAGAAGAATTAGCGCGGAATTCCCGTAAAAGAATTGAAGATTTGCGCGAGAAAGTACAAGAGAAAATGGCGAAGATAGTTGAAAATGAAAAGGAATTGAATTCTACCAGTAGACGGTTATCAGCTATTGAAAAGAGATGTACCGAATTAGAAATTGAACGAAATCTTCTACGTGAACAGAGAGCTATTTCCGAGGAACGCTTGAAATGTATGAATTCTGACATTGTCGATATGAGGTCAGCTTTACAATCTGCAAATTGTAAAATCTCTAGTAGGCAGTCAATACTACTTAAGTAATCAAAGTAGCATGACAGTCAAATAAACATTTTGTTCTAACCCCCTGCGCCAGCATTAGAGAACAAATTGGGCGAAAAGGAACGACTTCAGACAATATTCGAATCGCTATTTCACCGAGCTGAAAACGACTCCAGAGCAACTCGAGATTTTGCTGCTCATTTGGAGGACGATAAACGAACCCTGTTGGCAAATAATCTACGAATGGAGTCCGCAATCCATGAACTTCGTTCGACTTGCACCAATGCGGAACAGGAAGTATCCAAAGCTAACGAGGAGATAAGGAGAATGAAAAGTAGTATTGCAAAATACGTGAAGGATAAACGTACAACAGAGATAGCTATATATGAATGCCTTCAAAATGCTGGAATATTTCCTGAAAAATTGGTGGTCAATCGAAGATCCTCTAAATGCCATCAAATCATCTTAGGTACTTTTTTTGAAGCACTCAGTTAATCACAGTTAATATTCAATTTTATTTTTGAATTTCAGGATTGGATGCGCATAGGTCACTCCAATTGCTCTCGGAAAAAATAGCTAATTTAGTAGGAGAAAATGAAAAACTGAAAAATCACTTGGCGACACAGCAGTTGAAAATTCTAGAGGAGTGCAGTAAGAACGCTGCCCATGTCAATGCAAATTTTAATCAACTGGGAGCTAAACTACAGAGTGCGAGAGAAGGTTCGATCATTTTGCTTTCATCCATCAGCAAATCATGTACCAGAAACAATTTTTTGACACTTTCTACATAGGTTTAGTGAACCACGATTATGAACTTCTGGAGCTGATTTTTAGACTTGTGAGCATCGGAAGTTGGTAATGCTCTTGGGTATAGTGGAAGATGCTCCATTTGAATGGGGATCTTTGTTTACCTTAAATTATGTAGCTCGTATTTCCAAATTGAGTGTCTGCAAATTTCTTTAACTCAAAATACTTTTAGTGCTCACTTAAAACTACATCAGTAACTTCCAAAAATGAAATCCAAAATACTAAAACAACTAAAAGAACAAACTTTGGCACAGTCTACCGGGGAAATAGGGACAATTCTCCTGTCAGATGCCGTGGCTAATTAGTCTAACTAATTAATTATAATTGATACAGTAAAGTGGTTAATTTAAGAAGAGGATTTTCTGTCCAAACATCTAAGTTCGCCACATCGATCCTATCAGTCAACAAAACATAAGATTTCAATTTAGATTTTTCCAGATAAATGTCCTCGTATCCGAGAAGTTAATTCTATCTCTTAACTTTCAGATAACAAGCAACTCTGCATTCAACAAATCTTACTTCGACATCAACTTGAAACTCGAAAGTTCGCCATGGAAAAATGTACAGAAGTTAAACGTGAGCTCCAAGAAAAATTAAACGCTTTTGAACCGCCTATCAAATGCGATTCAAGTGGCCCAGTGAAACCCGTTAGAGTAAATTCTAGTAAATAGTGGCTTGCTCATTTTCTACTTATTTGCATAATCTCCGGTTTTTCAATGTTTAGAATCCAGAATTATGTAATCAGCTGACAAGATTTTTTGAAGAAAGAGCAAAATCGGCGGACCCTGATACATTTTCCATCAATCATAACGAGAGCATCAGAAGCATCGCGTGCAAGATTAATAAATTGGAAAAGACGTAAGTTACAAATAAACGCTTGTTCAAACATAGTTGAAATTGCTGGTAGACTTTGAAAGATTTAGTTCCCAGTTCACTGCTGGAGTAGATGGAACAATAACCACTAGATACTACTACATACGTCAAAGAATTGAAATTAGAAATTTAGATAAAATTATTTAAAATCTAAAAATAAGGATAGCCATACTCCCATTTGACTTTTTAGTTTACTGATTCAATAACAAGGTAAAATTTTGTCAAGAACTATAATTTTGATTAGGGGTGAGCAATAGACTTACCTCTACGTGGTGTCTGTTAACAGGGAGTTGACTTTTGACCTCAAGATACCATCACCCCACTGTATGTCATATTCTACCACTTCTGCAGTACTCACCTCACCTTTTCTCTGCCTTTGTGTCTCTCTTACATCTGTGAATCACTCTTCTATTCCCCACCCCTCGACTTTCTGTTACTTTGATGTTCCTCCTCCTCTCTGTGAAGCCCGAAGTCAGCTAAAGAGCTAATGATAACTATCAAAACGCCTGCCATTTGAAATAAATAATTTTGGTTCAGGAGTCTGTAACCGATGCATAGCTCTACGCCTCAGGTCGGCTCATAATAAAGACAAAATGAACAGTTCCTCTTCGCCCTCCTCTTTCCTCCCCCCTCCCACCACCCCCTATTTCAGTATGCACAGACGATTCCGCCAACACATACGCAGTTTTGACTTAGAACTCAGGTGTTTTTCTCATATCCCTCTCACTCCTCCCCCCCCCCCCCCCCCCCCCCCCCTNCCCCCTCCCCCCCCCCCCCCCCCCACCCCACTCCCCTCTTCCCTACCTTCAAAGAAACCGCTGACTATCTCAGCTCTCTTTCATTTTTAAGAGGGATTTTTACCTGCTACCAGCCTCTAAAATCATTAAAGAAAATCTTCGTAAAGAGAATATCTCCAACAGATTACAAAAAAACGCCTCATGTTAGCGCCAAAATTCTAGTCAATTACTTATTAATTATAGCTTATGGTAAAAATACTTGGTTATTTACATCTATTTCATTAAGTAATGGTATTTATTAAGCTAACACCTGTTACTTTTTTAGCTTAAAGGATGACTGCCAAAGCTAATTCGGAGTGTGATCGATTCTCAAATGACTCAACTTCCGCCACAGAGTGGATGTAATGATGATTATTAAATTGCAATGTTTTTCACCCAAATTGTAATAAATTGCTTAGCGCTGAAGAGTTATAACTCCAGGGCTATGGATGTCTGCCAGACTAAGCGAATGTCTAGTCTGAAAGTCGTTTGAAATGATGCTGCAAAAGCATGAAAAGGCATAAGTCATTTTATTGTTTCACTACGAAATTTAGCAATACTGTGTTAGCAAGTGCTTTTTCGGTAATATCTAGTAGGGTTTTATTCTAAATTTAGCTTTTAAGAAATTTGTTGGATTTTTAGCTGATGAAAACAACCTTGCAAAACTACTAAATTTCCTACGCAGAAATTACTTGCAATTATTCAGTAATATATCATAATTAACTTTTGCAGTTTTCCTTGTCTTAGCGCCTCGAACATTAACTAAAAGTACGTTGTTCCTTGACCTCATAACCAATTCACTGTGATGCCGATGAATCACCCTTGCAGCACATGACCTGAACGACGACAGAAGTGTGGGCTTGTAGGTCACCTAAATGAAGGAAAAAAATTACTTTTCTCTAAGGCGCCAGTGAAATAAATTACTTGAAAAAACAAACCTCTGCACTGTTACATCAATAGGGGGAACTAAGAAATGTCCTAATCTAAAGTCAAGCACTTTAAGGAAAGTAGTTGCATTCGAAAATGGGAAGTAGATAAGGCAAACAACCTTGCTGCATCGGGGGGAGGGGGGAGGGGGGGGGTACGATTGACTTACCTCCACGTGGTGCACCCTGGGCAACGTATATTCATAAGGCAAAAAGTCTATAAACTGGCAGTTGACTTCTGACTTCAAGCTACTATGACCCGCCTATTTGTCATATTTAATCCCTTTCACAGTGCTCATCTTACCTTTTTCTCTTTCTTTATGTCTGTCCGTCTCTTTCACATCTGTCAATCATTATTCTGTCCCTCCTCTCGACTTTTTTTCACTTTAATGTTCCTCCTCCTCTCTCTGAAGCCCGAAGTCAGCTAAAGGACTAATGATAATTATCGAATCGCCTGCCATATGAAATAAATAAACCTCGCTGCAGCGAAAGAAAGATTTTTGTTGACATTATTAGTAAGGCCCTTCTGAGCATAGTAAAAGAATTAATATTTGGAATAGGATCCTATAAAATCCTGACATAAAGAACCACCCTCTCAACCTCGTTTATCTGGTTTAAGATTTTGAAAGTTTATTCATTTCAAATGGCAGGTTCTATGATGGTTATCATTAGCCCTTTAGCTGACTTCGAGCTAAACAGAGGGGAGGAGCATCAAAGTGAGAAAAATTTGGGTGGGTAAATAGAAAAGTGATTTAAGGATGTTAAAGAGATAGACAGACACAAAGGAAGAGAAAATGTAAGGTGAGTACTGTGTAAGTGGTGGAATATGACATACAGCGGGGGTGATGGTTGTTTGAAGTCAGAAGTCAACTGCCGGTTAATAAACTTTTTCCCGCATGAGTATACGTTGCCAAGGGTGTACCACGTGGAGGTAATCTATCGCACACCCCAGCAAGCAAACATAAAAGTCTATATATAATAACAGGAGCAATCCTCATGGAAGATAAAAGTAAGAGATAAATAGGAAATAGATTGTTTTCTCCATAGTGAGATAGCTGTTTATTTTTTTAAGTCACTCACGTGCTCAATTTCATATTTACGTGCTAGGGGACATTACAAGGTTTTCCAGACAGCAATGTAAGGAAACTTTGAAGTTGGCTGAATTAGGGCCAAAATTTCATGATTGACCACGTTAGTGCACTCTCATGAACAAAGAATGAAATGACGCCTTATTGTCACGAATACCATCGAGGTGAAACCTTGAGAAAGTCAAATAGTTTCATTTCAACTTTTTGGAAATGGACAATTAAAATTCTTCCTGAATTTCGATTAGGCTTAAATCGATAAATAATCAATACACTAGCGCATAGGATAAAGAATTCCACCTATCAACTTTCTCTCGAGTACTTCATTATCTTATTAATAGCCAACTCTCTTCAGCGCTTTATTTATCATCAGTTTGAATCGGCAAATTTTGAAGAAAATATCGTTATAGCAACCATTGTCTTTGCCAACTGTTAATATGAGCATTACTTTAACCTGCTAATTTGTACTTGTCAATATATTTTATTAAGTGAGACCTGCACTTTTGTTTAAATAATGCATTTACCTACTCTTTCCCTGCCTGAGAGGCACATTTGAACACTATCATAAAACATCAGGAATGGTGGTTGCTTCCCCATTTTTAAGATATTTAAAATATTTCTATAATAATTAGCCAATAGCAAATATTTATTTATACCAAATGGCAGGCGTATTGATGGTTGTCATTAGCCCTTTAGTTGACTTCAGGCGTCATAGAGGGGAAGGGACATCAAAGTGGAAAAGTCGAGAGGGCGGGGTGGGGGAGGGAACAGAAGAGTTTTTCAAAGATGTAAAAGAGACAGACACAATGGTAGAAAAAAAGGTGAGGTGAGTACTGTGGAAGAAGTCGAATATGACATACAGTTGGGTGATGGTAGTTTGAAGTGAGAAGTCAACTGCCAGTTGATACACTTTTTTGCCGTAAGAGTATACGTTGCCCAGGGTGCACCACGTGGAGGTAAGTCTATCGCACACCCCCCCCCCCCCCCCCCCAATAGCAAAGAGTATTTTGTTTAAATCAAATTTTTAAAATTTATTTAAACTATAACGAATGATCAACAAAATATCGATATTTCAAATAAAACTGGGAAAGATTGAAAATATGCTTTTTTCATTATATTCCTAGAATATGTACTGGGTTTTAAAATTATCCCATAATCCAATTTTATATGGACAAGGTCGCTAACTCAAAAATATTCTAAATCCGAATTTCACCGTTTAAAAATTCGCAGTTGTGACTAGCAAGAGCAATGAAAAATCAAACATAGAAATTCTATCTCCAATTAGTGAATAATTGTGGTGGAAAAGGTTTCTAATGCAAGGGCAGAGATATTGTGTGTTCATCAGTCACATTTATAGATTTGATTTGATTCTTGATTTGAAAGCAAGGTTCCGCTTTGAGCCATTTTTTGTTTAATTTGTTCATCAAATATTCATTCATATCATACGATAGTAATCACTAGCCCCTTAATTGACTTCGGGCTTCACAGAGGAAAGAAAAAAAATCGAGAGGGAGAACAGAAGAGTGATTCGCAGATGCAAAAGAAACAGACAGAATGTAGAGAAAAAGGTAAGGTGGGTACTATGAAAGTGGTGGAATATGACATAAAGTGGGGCCATGGTAGTTTGTAGTCAACAACCGGTTTATAGACTATTTTACCATATGAGCATACGTTGCCCAGCGTGCACCACGTGGATCTAAGTCAATCGCGCATCAGTTATTATTCACTTTATTGGTGTGTCTAATTTAATGCGTGGGGATAACTATGACTAATGAAATTCTTTTACTAAACTTTCTTCGATCCACATTTTCGTACATATTTATTAATTTTATTTTGTTACACTGTTTACAACAGTTATAATTACGCATCGATGTAATAAAATAGTAGTAAAGGGTCATGGCTTCTTCTCTGAGGTTTCTTGCCTCTCATTTCTTACCCGTTGATTCAATGCTCCTGGTTACAGGGAGTACCACAATATGTTCCCTTATCAAAGAGAAGGCCTTGATCCTGTTGTTGCCTTATCAAAGAAAAGGCCTTGATCCTGTATGAGAAGTTCTCTTATCAAAGAGATGGCCTTGATCCTGTATGAGAAGCTACCTCATCAAAGAAAAGGCCTTGATCCTGTATGAGAAGCTACTTCCATGGATGATTTCTTCAGCACCTATGAGAATAGACCAAGACATCTGAACTTCTTCAGCACCTATGAGAATAGACCAAGACATCTGAAAAAGCACCTGTATGAGAAGCTACTGCGCATTCCCATGGATAAGTTCTTCACCTATGAGAATAGACCAAGAATATGGACAAGTTCTTCAGTACCTATGAGAATAGACCAAGACCCTGAAAATGCAATCTGGTCTAATACAGAAAGCCATAAAATTGAAGAAATTGAAAACACAATCTGGTCTAATACAGAAAGGCATAGAACTGAAGAAAGAATTACAATTCGATGACAAATCCAAAAGCCTCTCTTTACCCATGAACCCATTAGCAGACACCGATGTAGTGTGTTGCACCCAGCTGCTTGACTACTTCAGGAAATCAAATACCCCTCCAAAAAAATGTGCTCACTGGCCCTTGAGAAAATCAATGTCAACTATCCTCAGATCAATGGCTCCAAGTTTTCACTGATG